GCTGTTCCCCAAAGTGGTATTCCGTACGTCCAAATTGGTTTTATGATCGTTTTGTATATTTTTAGTTTGTTTTCTATGCTTAGTTTGGATTTTCGACTTGTTAACCAATACATTTGTCTCCCTGCTAATTGTATTTTGTCTATCATAGATTTAATATGCTGTTTCCATGTGAATCGTGTATCTAAGTGGAGTCCTAGGTATTTGACTTGCTTTGTTTGTATTATGTGCGTGCCATTCAGTGTAATGTTAGGAGGTATCTGTGTTCGCAGTGTGAATGTAATGTGGTTGCATTTATCGGGGTTTGCTTTAATTTGTTTAACTTGAAGCCACTTTTCTATTTTTGTGATATGTAGTGATGTGACTGCTGTTGCAGGGTCACTGTGCCTGACTAGTACCGCTGTCGTCCGCGAATGTCAGTATCTTGCTATTAGTAGTTGTTGGTATGTTGGCCGTGTATAGTGTGTATAGAATTTGTCCTAAGACGCTTTCTTGCAGAACCCCTGCCTTGATGTCTTTAACTTCAGAGTTATGTGTTTTTAATTTTGACTACGAAGGTTCTGCTGCTTAAGTAAGATTTAATTAAATGGTATATCTGATCCGGGAATTGTTTTCTCATCGATTGAAGTAGACTTTCGTGGTTTATTTTGTCAAATGCTTTCTCGATGTCCATAAAGAGGGCTCTGCAGTATTGTTTGTTTTCTAATGCTAGAATTATTTCATTTGTAAGTCTGTGCATTTGCTCTATCGTGGAGTGTTTGTTTCTGAATCCAAATTGGTGATCTGGTATTAATTTTTCCTTCTCTATTATTGGTTTTAAGCCATAGATAGTGTAATATGGTATTTTCATGTAGCTTCTCGGTGTGAAATGTGTTTCTGAAACAAGCAATATGTCAATATTATTGTTATACAGAAATGTTTTAGTTTCGAGGGCCCGTTGTTGTAGACGACCGCAGTTCCAAGCTGCTATTTTCAGCGTGTCCATTTCTATTTTTTACTTAACGTGTTTGTAAGTCATTGTAGCATCATTTTAATTTGTTGCGTTTGTTGTCTGAGTACTGCATTTTGCTCATTTATCACTTTTGTTAGCATTTCAGTGTTTTGGATGGATTGCTTGAGCAGTTCGACCCGTATGGAAGATAGAGATGCTGAAGTCCAGGCGACCACTCCGAGCGTTCAAAGCTTTACGTTTTCTTGTAAATACATAGATAATTTCAGTCGGAAAATATTTTTTTACTGCAGTTGGGACTCAACTGTGGGAGTTCACAGACGTATGAAAGTATGTATTATCAAATGATACAAAATTTGATATACTTGGACTTAACTAATTAGCATGTAAATGCTATGGGCAAAAACATTTTGAATACCAACCAGCAAATAGTATTTTACCTATAACTGTCTTCCAATATTGATCTGTTTATGTTTTATCTGTTCATGGATGCTGCTGGATCTCTTCAATGACTGTTCATGCTTTATCCCCTTAACTACTTGGATGATACCCCCTAAACCAATGTGGTAATGTGACACGGTAGCGACTTTTCTTTCAAGATCTGTATCGCCTTTGTATCGTCGAGACAATGTTGTTGAATTCCGGATGATGGAAATTTGGCAATAGGCGCTGAAAAGTTAGAGGTTTTATTCGTAACAGGTAACTGTACGCTAGTGGTGACTGCAAAATTCTCCTTGTCTATTATGGAGAAGTGGTTATACCCTAGTGGCGAGGATGAGTAATATGACCACAACAACGGCCAAGGAGGAATGATGAGAAAAAAGAGTCGAAGTTTGGGATGATTCAGGAAGAGAAACAGAGATTAGGGTGTTTGTTGTAGGACGAGTCTATGATGTTTGTTGCAGTATAAATAAGGAATTGGTCATCCAACTTCCCCCATTTTTTGGTGATCATAGTTTCTGAATCTGCATACATTCTAAAATTTATCTTATCATTAATCTAACAGTTATTGTTATCAATGTAGGTTTGTCTTATACAGAACCTATGGTAGAATATTTGACGCTGTTGTCTTATAGGCTTAAGTCTATGAGTATTAATTACATATAATTCGCAGTTATATATATATGATTGAAATTAAAGTAATCTATGAGTATTGTTATTCGTTGGACAGTTATTAATAATTAAAATACATAGTTAAGAGAGCCTTGTACGTTTTCGAGATCTCCTTCATGTGGTCCTTGTCTTCTCACAGATGATCGTCAGGTTTGTTGGATATTGCAAAACGTATAGCCATTGATTGTTTCCGACATATTTTCATGTTTCAATGTCGGCGTTTATCGTTTTCGCTGAGCAGTCCTGCGGTAAGTGGTTCTTTATCGTGTAGTACAGTAGTACTGCACTTTTTCACATGTGAAAAATCTTCGGTGGTCTTTGCCGTGTGTATATCGGTGCATATGAACTTACCTTCTAGACTTACCTTCTAGAGTCACCTTCTAGACTTACTTACTTCTAGTAGTCGTTACAGCTCTTCAATTCCGGTAGGATGGTATAATAAGACTTGGATTGAGAGAGGAACAAGTAAATCTGCGTTACGACCAAAGAGTAATTCGTAAGGAGTACGATTAATGAACTGTAGTAGAATCTAGTCATCCCAGTCTGTTTGATTTGGTTTAATATAAATGCTTTAGGTAGTCTTTGAGTGTTAAATGATAGCGTTCAAGAGATCCATTGGTTTGTGGGTGGTATGGAGTTGTGGTGATATGTTTAGTTTTAAACAAATTACAGAAAATTTGTATTAAGTCCGACATAAACTCAGGTCCTTGATCAGAAAGGATTGATTTGGGAATTCCAAAGCGCATAAATAGTTCGACTAGGGTTTTACTTACAGTTACTGTTCGTGGTCTGGTAACAGTAGATCGTACTGTGCGGTTAAAGACAATGGACCTACTATGTCCATGGCTAGTCTATCAAATGGAAGATCAAATGTTGAGCTAGTTTCCATAGATTGCTTAGTCGGTTTGAAGTTCGTTTTTTAATGTGGCAGGAATGTCACGACTTTATATAATCCTGAATATCCATCTTAATTGTGGGCCAATAATAATGTTCCTTAATTTTATTATATGTTTTATTAAATCTATAATAACCCGCTAGTTTATTGTTGTGATTTTCTTGTAAAATTTTATTTATTTCGCCATGTGTTTTTGGCGTTATTTTATTGTTATGAGATATCTTTAAATCATTTGCGTTAGCATTTCGTATAATAAGTTACGTTTTATATTATTATTTTTATGAGGATAAATAAAGACAAAATTATCACTGTGTATTTTAGGATTGGAAGCACTTGAACAAATGTTTATACTTTATCTTATCGAAGTGTAGATTCTATGGGAATAGCAGATAAACTATTTGCTTGTTGTTCTTCAAACTGTTGACACCGTGTAATATAATGTCCAAATCGGACAAATTATGAATGTAAACAACTAAATAAAAAAAAAAAACCATGTAACATTGCCTGTAAGTCGGTTATGCCAAGATTTGATTATATATATTCAGAATATCAGTTTCTTTCCTCTAAATCTAAGGACCAGATAAGAATAATTGGTGCGTTAATTTTTGCAACACACCGAGCTTTTTTCGAAAATTCTATCGGTTCTAATTATGTGTAATGGAATTTTATAAAATCTTGATACGTTTGAGGTTATGCGACAGCGAACTGGCTTTGATTTATCGTAAAAAGTCGTGAAAGTCCATCTGCGTTTGAATTTATACATCCAGGTTTATATTTAATTTCATAACTGTATTCTTCTAATCTCAATCGCCATCTCACTAGTTTCGAAGAGGGTTTTTTGCAATTAAATAACCACTGTAGTGCTCGATGATTTGTATACCTAGATTGGGGTTAGGTTGAGGTTAGATTAGGTTAAGGTTATGCTCTGCCGAGTTGACGATTGCTAGAAGCTCTTTCTTTGTGTAGAATAATTACGTTCCGAGTCGTTCAAAGTGCGAGAATAATACGCGACAGTTTAATACTTGTAGCTTCTCTTCTGGGAGAGGAAACATTCATAATACTTGACTCAATTTCAAAAAATTCCTATTTCGAAATGTCAGAAAACGACGATACTATCGCAAATTTATCGATTAATTATCGACGATACTACTTATAATTTTATTTATTTATTTACGGACGCAGCTCCGTAGAGGTATCTTTAGATCATTTAATTAAACTTCTGCTTTTGAGATAGGACGAAGTTACGATCGTTTATCAAACAAGTAGATTCTGTATTCGAATTGGCAAAAGCCAGTATTGTTACCATTTGTGAAAAATAAAATGGTAGGAAAAGCTAGAGGCCAAATTGATATTCATTGTAACCTTACGACGTGGAAGGAAATTTCCGACTTATTATTAAATTTGTATCAAGATAAGAAATCGTTAGATCAATTAATGGAGGAATTAAATTCTATCAGACAAATACGTAACGAAAGTATTTCATAATTTTATCAATGGTTGGAAGAACTACAATCTAGAATCCTAGGTACAATTCATTCAGCAGATAGTGAAGATAATACGTTAACAGGGCGTGTAGCAATGTTTAATGAAATGACTTTAAATATTATAGATTCGTGTATCATTCATGTTGAGGTTAAGGTTGACTGATTGAAGAACGAGTGGATGAATTTCTAATAGAAAAGTATATTGAAATAATTAAAGGTATAAGTATAAATATAATGTATAAGCATACGTTTATGCTGATTCAGATCCTTACTCTCTTAGTGTTACTAGACAATGGAATGATAGGGAGCACGTTCATATATTTATAACAAAAGAACATTACCAAAAAAAGTTAAGCTTATGGCTTTGGCTAGAGGCTACAGGGAACATAAATAGAAATCTATTTATAGCTCCTTTGTTTCTAGACCTTGTAACCCAAAACATAATTTATATTCAAGGGCACAATAATATGGATCTCTCCTTATTTAGAATAGTTTTTGTTTCATTAAATTCTATCCTCTGCGTAATTGAGGTCTCCAGGTCACGGATATACAAAAGTAAAGATGTAGAGTTTTTCTTGAAGTAATTACTTCAACATCTATTATGGAGAAGTGATTCTTATAGCCTAGTGGCGAGGATGAATAATATGGCCAGGACAACCATACAGGTGTTTGTTGCAGAATGAGTTTGTGATATTTGTTACAGTACGAATAAGGAGTTGGTCATCTAACAATATTAATGCAACAATGAAGCTTTATTATTTTTGACTTATTGTTCGCGTTGAAATGGATCTCACTTCTAGGAACTCTATATCTTCTCTAGTGTTTAGTTTTTGACACAACGATTCTCTTTACAGCGATTTCTTTCGTCTTTATTATAGTACCGCGGAAATATCGCCGGCATACAAACAATGTCGACGATAAAGTGCAAATGGCCGACAAGCCGAAAGGGTCGGAAAACTTCAATAGGCCTAACGGTCATCAATATACTTCGGCACCACAGCCGTTGATGTTCAGTTAGCCGCCGGAGAGTCTAGAGTCAAGAGCCGTTAATCGAGAGTTGTCGTATCACATTACTGCATTAAGTTTACGCTAAATAATCATCGTTTTCTGTTTACTCCGCTGTAATAAATCCATCTATCGATGCATTATCATATTTTCTTTTATTATTTAATTTGTACTTTACAATTTGTCCAGCTGGGCATTCGGTAAATTTTTTTAGCTTAATTGCTAACTAACATGTGGATGTGTTTGTTTCTGAATTCAAATTAGTAATCTGGTATTAATTTTTCTTTCTCTATTGTTGGTTTTAGGCGATCGTATATTATTTTCTCTAGTACTTTGGAAAACACAGGAAGTAGATATTGGTAGGTAAGATGCAGTTTGGTGTGGGTCTTTACCTGGCTTAGGTAACATTATGATCTGTGCTAGCTTCCATAGATTAGGAAAGTATTGGATTGTTAAAATTGCATTGAATATCATTGTGATTAAACGTAGTGCTTTTGGGGGAAAGTTTTTCAAGATTTTACCATTGATTAGCGTTTCTGGTGCTTTATTGTCTTTTGTTTTCTTGACTATGATTCTAATTTCTTGTGCTGTTGTATTAGGTATGGTGTAGTGCTTGTTAGTTAGGGTACTAGCATATTGCGCATCTTCGTCGGACTGATATTTGATTTTACTTTTGTTTTCTTTTCCAGCAGTGTTGTTCTTATAGAACAATTCGATTAGGGCATCTATTATTTGAGCATTTATGTAGATCGGTGGTGATTTAACGATATGAGTTATAACATTTCCTTTTGGGTCCATATCTATTTCTTCTATTAGTAAATCGAATGAATTTCGAAGTGGGATGTCTTGTAGCCATTGTTGCTTTTCTGCATCTGAAGTTTTGATGGCGCTTGTACCTGGTATTATTTTGCGCTTTTTGTGCGCTGCTGCCATCTTCCAGTGTTCATCGTTCCCATTCCTTTTGTAGATGAGCTTTCCTGTTCTTTGTTTATTGGTTGTTTTCTACTTAATGTATTTGTAGCTTTATTTATGTAATATATTTCACCTTTGTTTGTTATTTTGATTGGTGGTATTTGTTGTTGCATTTTGGTGCTTTACCATTTGGCAATGTTTTTTGTCTTTTCGTTCACCTAAATTCGCTGCTTGTCGCACTTTCATCGAAGCACAGTTTCTCACGTCTGTCTAGCTCGGCTGGTCAGGCAGAACTGACATTATCATATAGAATAGAAACCATTGGAAATCCTAATTTCTAACATTTCCGAATAAAGAATTTCTATAATTCATTCATCCACGCGTTTGCTCTCTCTATATCGAGTTATATACAGGGTGGTAAAAACTGGTGGTACAAGCGGAAAGGGAGTTATTCTATGCGAAAAAAGAAATTGAAAATATAGAATAAAAATTTTTCGTTTGAGGCTTTATTTTCGAGAAAATCGACTTTGAATTTTCGCTCGGTACGCGTACGGTACGTTATAACGGATCTTACTGTAGATCGTTGTCTCGATGTTTCCGCTTGTACCACCAGTTACCAACCACCCTGTATATTTTAATTAGATTGTTAATAATTTTTACTCAGTAACAAAAGTAAAATGGATAGAAACGTGAAATCTTATTTGTAGTTAATTTCTACTTCTATTTTTAACGTTTTTGTAAAAACGAATACGCATGCAAAACAGATATATTACGCCAAAAATATTATTCGCAGCCTATCAACTACTGAAATTACTATAAAAGTGAAATTTAGGTTTTATTATAACAAAATATTATCGCGAAGAAAGTAAACAAACAAAAAGTTATTGTATATAAAGAATATATTAATTAATTTTTCTTTTTTTCTAAAAAGAATAGAATAAACAATTAACTTTTCTTCCTAAGGCAACTAAGATTAATTATTGTGCTCGGACAGAAAAGTATGAACATTTTCGTAGAACCGCACAATGAAATAAGCTCTTGCAGCATAGAATCACAGCGAGTATATTTCATTTGCGGTGGAACTAAATAGATTTTTGTATGATAGCGTGGAACGCCTTCAGTTCTTGGTCGCTGGGGGCAGTATTAATCTGAGAATAACCTTATAAATGTAGCATTCGTTCCCTCTTTGGTAATACTATTCCCTAATTAATTCAAAGGTAGATGCGCCACTTACCGTTATTACTGCTGATTACTTGATCACACTCTCGTTTTCATTATAGATACATACAACATACACACACAAACTGCCTGCCCCTTAATATAAAAACGTGATATTGGTCTAATGGGTCTAACTAATGACTAATGAAAATGATACAAAACAAATCACACATATCTACAACATTGTTATTATTGTTACCGTAATGTAATTGGCAGCACTACCTTTAAGTTAGTGAGAAAATCATCCTGTATGTTATCAATTATATTTTTATTTTCAAAATAGTATATCGCGTAAAAGTTACTTTAGAAACAAAGTGTAAACATGCGCACTTTATATTTTATCTTCTTAATTATACTTTGAGGAAGATCTTTTAATATTAGATATATTTGAATTTTATGTATATAATATATGACATTTTAAGTTTCTTTATAATGAACTTTTTAAAGTTAAAATAAAAATATTTGTCTTTTCTGGAATAATAACTTCTTAATATTTTGAAGCAACATAATTAATAAAAATATAATAAGTTGTGATCTATGGATCATGAAATTATTCAAATAAATTTATGACATTATTTATCTTGTATTATGTTTTTTATAATAATTATTATACAATAATTATATATAAAAAATAAGTAGTTCATAAAATATTTCATATTTCTCTTAAATGTTTATTAACCTCATATTTAAACATAATTCTTTCAATATGAGAGAAAGAAATTGTATTTTATAGAAGATTATTTTATAAAAAACTTTTTATATTATACATTTATTTAGGTAACATAATATAGAAAGATATATTTACCAGAATTTTTATTTTTGACAAATTTTAGTATTAACGATATTGGCTGACAATTAATAATAAAATGCAAGACTCATATTTCAACTATTTAACATCTAATAATTTGTTGCCATGAAATACTTTAATAATGAAAGTTTTGAGAGCATATAAATATTACTTATGGCTAACATAAACTACTTGAAAATATAAATAATTAAAGTAAAAATTGATCCTTTTTGTCTCTAAATATGACATTAATTTGTAATATTAACATTGTGAGATACGTTATAAATAACATTTATGTATATGCAATTAAGGAGTAAAACAGTTTATAAGCAATGAAAACATAATTGTTTTATTTTCCTGGAACTAATTTTTTGTTTTATTATCTAACAATTGAATGAAATATTACTAATATATAAGTCATTTATACTTCATTTGGAGTTTCGTTTATTTTATGTTTTCTGTATTCATTGTAATGCCATAAGAGTGATACAAAATGTAAAAGACAAGATAATGAATTATTATAGACGAAAAATTTAATTATTAAATGCTTAAGACTATTGTGGTTAGATTTCAGTAATTTGCCACATTTAAAATCTATGTCAGTAAAAAATCCTATCACAAATTGTGGCTTTGAAATATTCTTATTCTTAGTTTATAATACTATATATGTTAAATTAATTTTACATGTAATTATACTTTCACAGCTAATATTTTTTCTGTTGATTTTCAAAAATGTTCGCTCAAGCTTTCAAGATTGTTACTAACCTTTTGTGCTCTTCATTGTATTTATTCACAACATGTAATATATACATAATATTCTTGAAATACCGTGTAAGAATTTTGTACAAAAACATTATCTAATTTTTAAATTAAGTATGACCTACATACATATATTGAAGGCAATTGTTCCTTTTTAAGATTCTTTTAATTGCAATTTATTAAATATCGATAGCCAATTAACATATAACAAGATTAATAATTAATTATTAACATTGAAATAATATATCCACTGAAAAGAATGTGTGATAAGAGATGTAATGATCACAATTTGATCACAAAAGGTTAAATCATTTAATGTAAATATGCAGTTACGTTTCTTTTTCTTAACGAAGATATTCGAAACTCATTTAATAAAAAATTTCTTATTTACATTCATTCGTATGCTTCTTAGATACATAAATACAATCTCGCGACAAAACATTAAATAGTAATTTAAATTTTGCATAATTTTCAGCATTAAAATTTATTAAACATTTTGATAATCCTAAATAATTTCATTCATCTTTTATAATTCACCATTTTTAAAATAATTTTTTAACTTTATATTTATACTCACATATAATTAATTTCTTTGTGTTTTTAACGTTTTGCAAGTGTATGCATATATTTATAATATTCTATTCATAATATACGAATTATAAAGGACATTATATCACATTAATGTTACTACCATATGACTTGTTCATTTTCTTTTTACGGCACTCTCTCTCACGTATTTCATATAATAGCAATAACTGATAAATTTGAGAACGAAATTCCTCGTTCGTTTATAAAATGTATGATACAAGTAGAAAATATATGTGTGTGTGTGTGTGTGTGTGTGTGTGTGTGTGTGTGTGTGTGTGTGTGTGTGTGTGTGTGTGTGTGTGTGTGTGTGTGTGTGTGTGTGTGTGTGTGTGTGTGTGTGTGTGTGTGTGTGTGTGTGTGTGTGTGTGTGTGTGTGTGTGTGTGTGTGTGTGTGTGTGTGTGTGTGTGTGTGTGTGTGTGTGTGTGTGTGTGTGTGTGTGTGTGTGTGTGTGTGTGTGTGTGTGTGTGTGTGTGTGTGTGTGTGTGTGTGTGTGTGTGTGTGTGTGTGTGTGTGTGTGTGTGTGTGTGTGTGTGTGTGTGTGTGTGTGTGTGTGTGTGTGTGTGTGTGTGTGTGTGTGTGTGTGTGTGTGTGTGTGTGTGTGTGTGTGTGTGTGTGTGTGTGTGTGTGTGTGTGTGTGTGTGTGTGTGTGTGTGTGTGTGTGTGTGTGTGTGTGTGTGTGTGTGTGTGTGTGTGTGTGTGTGTGTGTGTGTGTGTGTGTGTGTGTGTGTGTGTTTCAATACATTTCATATATGGAAAACCAAATTTTGATATAAAAAGAGGTACTTCAAATTGTTCCTATTCGACATAAATACATTAATATTTGTACTTTCTATTTAACTTTTAACAAAATTTATTTTTATTTTTAAACTAAAGTCTAATTTCTTCTCTTGTTCGGTATGTTGAATAAATATTAAACATCTGATTCAGCACCTTAAAAATAATCCACCATCACATATAGTTGTAATATATTCCGCGTACTTTACTAATATTTATAGTTATAATTGGTATGATAATATAGTAACTCACTTTAAGGCCTCAATACTGCCATTTAACGTCTCTTATTCCCATGACGTCGACCGAACTTACGATTTTTTCTACAAAAAGGAAGTTGTAAATCTATTAATATATATAAAAAATATTTGTTCAAATTGTCAAAATGCTTAATATTTATATTCAATTTAATTCCTAAACTTAATGTTATGCAAACATATGAGCATAGAAAGTATACCTAATTTTACTCGGCGAAGGAACCGGAGTATGTTCGGCGATAACAGGTAATACAGAAGTAAATTTATCAGTTGGACGTAAAAGACGTGCTGTACGAGAAGATAATCTCCATATCAGTCTTTGCCTGTGAGGGGTTTGCTCCTGAGCATTGTATTTGCTCAATACAGCACCCACAGCTTCATGTGTGGAAAAGAAGCTTGTGTCTGAAATCTATAAACGCAATATACCAATCATTTATTGTTTTACCTGTTATATTTACAAGATTTAAAATTCATTAAATTATTATAACGTTACCTTACATATTTTCTGAAGTTCTATAGCAAAGTCCAAAAGTCTACGCATTTGATGTCTTGATGTTACAGATGTATTGATAGTAGAGGAACTAGGAATAGCAGTAGTAGATATGGGAATATCTGTATTAGTATCTAATCGGTTCACTGCACCATCTAAGTATGTGCAGAGTAGAACAAGTGCTACTTCCGACGACTTCAAACTTGCACAGTTACCATCACATGCAACCATTTCTAACCTAAGTAGAAGCTCAGATTCCTAAAATAAAGCAATCAAATTGATATATCATTATAGTAATATAACCAAGTCTTCTATTTTTACATAAACAAAAATTATTACCGTTACAATACTGGTATACATGTCTCCTAGCCCTAGTTGTGATGCAATTGCAAGAAACATTGCATTGAATAAACGAAGAAAAGTTAAAGATGTAACAGGTTGAGTACCAGGTGCCCATTCTAACTTATTCCGTATTACTTCTGACATACGTTTAAGATCACCTCCAGTGCATTTGCACTGAGAAATTGAGACTAAGTGGTCAGCATCCAGTGACTGAGCTAACTGAACAGTAGCTATGTGAAAAGCAGATACACTGATACATGCCATATATTTTGGTCTTGCTTTCATTTTTGTTAAAAAACGGTCCATTAAATTGATGGCAACAAAAAATACATCCGATGGTAGATCATACCATACTTTCAAACACCTTAAAACATGGGCTGATCCATCACGAGCTCCAATTGTTATGTCATCATTCTGAAAGGAGAAAAAATATTTCATATAAAATAAAATTACTTATGATATTTTACAGATACCCAATTGTTCTATTATTCTATATGATTTATATACATACTTGTGATATATTAGGTAACGGAAGGTTAGGTTGATACTTTACTTCAAGAACCAAAGCTTCTTGCAATTGTTCAAGTAGCGGGTGGATTGCATCCGGTACAGGCAAGCCCGATGTGTCCATTCCTGCAATGTGTGACTGACAGCTCACTACAGCAATAATTAAAAGATAAAGCAATGCAAAATATGCGTAGTGTAGCTGATGATATGAATGTCACACAACAAGAATGGCGCAGCTGGCTAGCCTTGTATCTATAAACAGAAAATATTTATATTAAAATTATTATTTAAAAGATCTATTATTGTCTAAATTATTATGTTAAAGATAATAAATATATCTGTTTCTAGAATGTTTAATTTAACATAACAGTTTGTGATAAATAACTTATTCTTTAATAACATAAATATAGTCGAAAAATTGTATAAGTTGTTTAACTATTTTAATAAATTACAGAGAAATAACAAATATCAGAATAATTTTTTTCTTTAATACACTATAAGAAGACCATATTTTCTTCGTGACAATTGTTCCTATGTTATTTTAATACTAGAACTTGTAACAATTTTATTCCAGCTTCTTATTTTTACTTCTGTTCTTTGCTATTGTGTAAGGTGTGCGAGTTTGCATCCACGCGCCATCAATAGATTTATGTACTTGAAAGTTTCAGGAATGTACTAGAAAATCATCTATATATAATTCGAAATAACTTCGAGCGCTTTCGATTTTGTATCTTTTTCTTTTATATGATTCCTTTTTTAAAATAAATTGAGTCAAAATTCTTTGCCGATAATATTTTTGTAGAACTACAGTCATTATAAAATGTTTAAATATATTATTACAAACGAGCTGAATTTATTATTTTTGGTTTAATTTAAAAGAATTCAATTTAGAATAGTGTCCTATTTTATAAATAGCGCTTCCAAAATCATGTAAATAAAATGATAATGTAATAAAGGTATAGAATTACAAAAAAAATCGAATATTGAAAATATAAGTCATCAATATAATAAGGAAATAGTTAATAAATTTTGCAAAATAAGACAAAATAATATAACGATAGTTTATAATGTAATAATAGGCTACTGTAAAATGATTTTCGAGAATATTCTAATGCGAAATATCGAATAGAAATGTGTAATTTATTTATTTGGTAATACTTAAGTCGTATTATTGTCATATATTATCAAAACGACAAAACGAGAAGATATATAACCAGCTGATGCAATGTACTGTCAGAATTGAAAGAACTTAAGTGCGTTTAAGTCTTCCATTATTTGTATCATACATCAATTCAAAACGAGCCAAAAATGTCCAAATAAAAATATTTTCAATTAAATATGTTAAATATAAGGAAGAGTATTTAACTGAAATTAAAAGTTCAATGCAAATTTGTCCTGAAACATGGATAAAATAAAAAGATTTAATAAAAACTATTAGTTTTGGAAAGATATATGTATAAAAACTAAAATCACATATTTACATATATATGTTTATAAATTTCACTGACCCGAAAAGCTGTTTAAAAATTACTGTATTGGTGATAGCAATGAAAATATGCAAACAAATCATAAAACAATATATGAAATAATGGTTTAGTTCATAATATTATCACTTACTACGAGATGCTTAATTTGAATTACATTATAGGTAATGACAAGATATAAAACAATAATGAATGATATAATGAAAGATATAAAACAAAGGAAATTGTTTATAAAGAAATTGATCCTCGCAATTTATGAAGAATTAATGTATCACTTAACGAAAGAAATGTTTATGTTGATCAACGATCAATTTGTTGTTAGTAACAAGATTCATACCTATAATATTTTCCCATATATAAAAGCAAATTAATGTACACACTTATCATTTATTTTAGGCAATGTGGTATTATGAAATCACAGAATCATCGAAATCTATAGGTATATATTGTTTTTTTCTTTACGTAAGAGCAACGAGCTCCTACGAAGAGCAAAGTATACACTCTATATAAACGCGTACTCGAATGATACTGTTAATTCGCATCTGCTATGCGAATCGTCACGGATGAGCAATATCCGAATTACTACGAATATGCACGAATTTGGACGAAGTTAACTGTAAAGCAGTATTAAGATCAAATAATATATGAAATCTTTGGTTAATAAAAGAATTTAATCATTTATTTGCAAATGATAGAATTTCAATGATCATTTAAATAAGAATTAACAAATTATTTCAACAAAAATAAAAATGTATGTATTGTAAATAATGAGCAATAAAAAATAACTTTATGAAAACATAAACTTTAAAATGTTGAATGCGAGTCTGTGGAATATAGTTCTTATCTTTTATATTTATATATATACACGCGCGCGCGCGCACGCACGCACGCACGCACGCACGCGCACACACACACACACAGAGTATCTCATCTTCTTTTGTTATATTTGACACGAGTTTATACAATTTATCATACTTCATTATTAAATAAATTTCATAGCGATCCACATTTTCTTTATCTAATCGTAAATAAATATTATGCTATTTACTCTCAAATGTCAAGAACTATAGAGATCTCATTTACTCCTGTCATTTAATTTGTAGAAAGAAAAATTAGATTTTTATCGCGATTATTCATTATATATAAAGTTCCAATTTTGTAGTATTGTCAAAAGCTTTATCATTATTATCTTAACTAATTTATATTATCATATAAAAGACATATCATAAATAATCAAATAATTAGAAGTACATATATACAGTATGTATATTCGTCGAACTCTTTCTCTGTTCTCATTACCACCATTTTGTTTTAGTTAGACATTTGAACATATATTTTATAAACACTTTATGCACTACAATGATATTTACAAAAAAAAAAAGCAAAGATTTACCCGGATGCGTCCGAAACGCTGTTACGTCGATAGATCACCCAATCTTGGCTTTTTTATCGTATTTGTCGATACGGATAGGAAACAGATTCACGAACGAACTATTCCGTTTGACAGTTGTTTTAACAATAAGAAATGGCGAAGTCATGAACGTTCAGCTGATCATTACGAGCTTCCATACGCTCATGCGTAATAGTCCTTCCATAAGCGTAAATCTCTCTGCGAAAAATTTTAAATATGATGTCACTATATTTAGATAATTTATTATCTTCACTGCAGTTATATTATTTCAAATAATTTTCATTAATTTTAGAATCGAATGTTCTATTTATAAATCTAGTTTGAATATAGCATTATTTCATAATTTTAAATTTTATATTGGTATTAAATAGTATTAACATGTAAATTAATGATTGTGCCGTGATATAGGAGCAGAAGACAGCACAGATACGTAGCATAGGAACAAAAAACGTGAGGATTTCCGTAGATAACTTTTTGACACCCGCTTTCGAAGACAAGAGGCTATTTTTAAGTTGGGACACTAGCACTTAGCATGATTTTGTTCAGCAATGATAACAATGCCTGTAATTTTCTATGATCATCATGTTCTCAATAGTCGAGCGTGCAATAAATGCAATTATTTCCGATGGGTAATTTAGCTAATTGTAATGACCCGATTGGTCAAAGATCACTCTGAGGAACTTCCGTGACCTTTATCTAATCACCTGGAAGCCTGATGTTTCGTCCAAATATCACTCACCCTTTTCCCCCAAATATTTATATCTATGTATATGTTATGTGTTGTAGCACTATTAACTTGCTACTGGATCTTAAATTTATATGTTAAATTTATTAGTATTTTACTTATCTTATTGTATCAATATCATTGTGCTGCTAAATATTAGAAAAAAATAGATGATTAGATGTAAAGACCAAAGCTCCACAAAGTCTGAAAGGATGAACAAAATAAATAATAGACAAATAATAGTAATAATAATGTAGATTAATGATCTTAATTTTATTGCAATACTAAAAATTTAAAATGATGCACATATATGTATTTCAGCAATATGTGGAATATTTTTGTTAAAATCTACTGATATAATCATTTTATTTTTGACATTTTCTTTCTCAATATTAAAGTTAGGAAGGAACCTTAAGTATACATAAGTTATAAGTATGTGATCACTTTTGTAATATCAGATGATTTAATATAATATAGAAAAAATTTTTTGAACTATTAGTATTCCATAAATGTAGTTTATGAGCTAGCTTTTAATTTTTACATTTGTTATGCCACTTCATTGTTTAACATAATATATATTTATACATGTATAAATAGTAAACAAGAATGATTTTTGAATACATCTTTACATTTTATAAAATGAAGCTTTTTACATTCATTCATTCTTATTATGTACAAATTGATAGATATTTAAATAAGAGTACTATATGGTAATATATTATAATAAAAATAACATCCCTTTCTTATTATACATTCCTATTGTCAATTATAGATTACTTTTATTTATATTATGTGAAGATATAAAATTTCATACTATACAAAGGTTTTATTTATTTTTTCTAATTACACAGATAATACAAATAATTTGCCTATTTTCCAATGTTTTAAGTACAAACTTTTGGTTACATTATTCAGCTCTGAAATATATTATTAAAAAAACACATTTCTTATCCATTCTCACTATCACATAAATTTTTATCCAATTTCATTTCCATATTTTTTTCTTGCTCTAACATTTTCACAGTTGCCTCGAGTGTATATAAATGTTCGTCATTTATACCTGGTGCTATTACTCGCATTGCAGATGCCAAATTATATAAATATTCTGTATTTGTTCCACTAGGACCATGAGACACTAGTATCTGTTTTGCTATTGTATATATGTCCTCTACACCTGCATAATTTGGATTATCTTCACCACCTATGTAAATTGTGATATAAAATCGCATATTTTCTGAAACTGATGATAATAGTTTTTTATTTTTAAGATCATTTGGAAAAGTATTATCTGTTAAAGAATATGGTGCAGTATTTTTAATGGAATAAGATGGATAAAAGAGAACACTTTTTCTTTCATAACCTCCTTTTTCTCTGTAATCCAAGTGTTTTACTACTTTATCTATATTTTGGGGTGATATTCTATAAGCAACACCCCATACTTCATCATTAGGATTATCAGAATTAAGTAATGTTACAACACGACCAGGCTATAACAAAATACCATTGTTTGTATACTTAAAAACTATGTATTATACATTACATAAAAGTCAACATAATATGAATTGTTAATAAGTAATAAAATAATTTACACTTAATGTAATATCTAAATTTTTAGATACTATTTTTAAATAACCATACACATATCAAATTCTATTTATGAAGAAATAATTACAAAAATTGATTTTTACTTTTCTTAAAGAAAACTAATTAATCCTTTAATTGCAAAACATTATTTGCAAAACACAAAAAAAAAGAAAATCCCAAATTAATTTGAAATTTGAAATTTAAAAAACGTACATAATTTAATCGCAAATGTTAAAAGATGTTTTAAGTGAAAAAAATTACTTAAAGAAGTTTAACACACAATAATTATAATACGTACTCTACTAGGTATTCCTCTATGATCTATACTTTTCTGGTAAAATCTTCTGATATATCCTTTGATGTATCCAACGAGAATTTCTTCGTAAGGAAAGTCTGCTTTCCATATCAGTGAACCATAACCAAACACCCACATTATTACTTTTCTTGTTAAATAGTAATTGCCTTAATGATTGTTTGAACTTTTCATTTAAAATTATATTTTTTTGTAAAAATATATAAATTCCGAGTAAGACAGTATTTCCTATTCTCCTAAAACATATTTAATGTTGAATTCACATTAAATTATTAAGACGACAGATACATAGACTATTTAGTAAAAGTTTTAAAACAATCAAAATATACTTTACACTAAAATTTTGAATAATGGTTTATGAAATATAATTATTTCGAACAAATTTATTGTTCCTTCGACATTACGCTATTTTTATTATTTAAAATATACCTTTTTCTAATCTTTTGTCCAAAATAATTTTACATTAGTATGTATATTGAGAGAAATTATGAACATCATATATGTACATAATATACAGTACATATACATATTTAATGAAAAGTACGTCAGATAATCACGCGAATGTTCAAATTTTCGTGTGCGAAGAGAGAACGAATTTTCATATTGATTTAAATGTGTAAGTTTTAATGTCTATTGACGATCAGATGATTTTATTTTGATATACGGTTATTAAAAGTATTTGGTAGTAAAACTTAATATTTAAAATGTTTTCAAAATTTCTATGTACCGATGTACTTGCCATTCGCTGTGTTGATAATTTCATTTTTGTAGGTTAGTATCATATATGTAATTTTTTCACAATAAATAAAAGTTATAACCAAATCTTCATTTCTCCATTTAAATAGTAATACATATTTATATTTTGTAATTTTTATAATTTCCTTTTCAAATTATACATAGGTATGGGATGTGTACTATGTATTTTTAATGCCAACACATACAAATTGGAAAAAAAAATAAATTGTCTTTATCCATATAATATACATGGAATTGTTGAGGGCCCTAATAACAAATTAACTGTATTTGGTGCTAACTATTTTTCTACATATAAAATTTACCATAAACAAGAAACATTGATGTATGTTTAAGTAATATACATATAATATTTGTTTTATTAAGTATTATACTTTATTTATCTATATATTCATAAGGAAGTATATATTTTAGGATTGAAGAAGATTCTAATAAAAAAAGACTTAATGATTGGATTGTGGCAGCAGAATGGGTGATATTTGATGAATGCGATTATCTATGTGTTCTTTTAGCACACAATAATGTTTGTATTTATAACGTATCTAGTGAATGCTATCAAAGCGTATGTTGCGAAGAAAGATGTATTCTGTATCCTTATATTTATATATTTAAACAAAATATTTTAACATTAATCTTAACTTTATTATTAGATACGCTGGCTCCATGTTAAATAACAGTAATAGAGATCTAATTATTTTTAGTGGAACTGTATATCAGGAAATATTGATATGGCAAATAAATTATAATTGCCATTCTAGAATATCTCCAGTTTTACATCGTTTACAGGGGCACAATGTTCGTAATATATTACCTAAAGCAATGTCCTTTTTTATGCATTATGTTAAAGTTTAAGAATGCAAATGAACTGAATTCTAGGGTGTAATCTTTTCAATCACATATGATATAGCTACACAAATTATTTGTTCTACCTCAGATGACAGAACAGTCAGATTATGGAAAATAAGTAACAACAAAAGTAAAGACTGTAAGCTTACATTGGAAAGAAAATCAGTGAACACAAATTGGAAAGAAATTAATATAAAACTAATGCGAACAATGTTTGGTCATACAGCTAGAGTGTGGAAATCTATCATTAAAAATGAAATTTTATTTACAATAGGAGAGGTATATATCATTATGTATACATAGTAAACAATTGATAATAAAAATACTTTATTTTCATGTTCATAATCGAAGGATTCTCTTATATGCATCTGGTCATTGGATGGTAAACTACTTAACAAAGTTTGTGCTCACCATGGTGCTGCTATATGGAGTATTGACATATCAAATGATAATAAAAGTGTTTTCACTGGTGGTGCTGATGGTGCAGTTTATTCATGGCCTTTTGTTAATGGTTATGTTCAAAAAGCTGTATTAATACCAAAAATACATACATGCACTGTGCCAAAATATGTTTGTTACTTAAGAAGTGGTAACCTTTTAATTTTTGATGAAAATGCTACTTTATTTATATTTAACAATTATTATAATAGTCTGCTAGGGTCATTGTATTTAAAGAAATATAGTACATATTGTGTTATGGAGGTTTCTTTATGCCACACCTATGTTTCTTTTGCATCAAGAGATGGATATATAACAATATACAAAGGTAAAGTAATAATAAAGATTAATAAAATTGCATTAATTGTTAAGAATATTGTACATAATGATTTTAGAAGTTGCAGCTAATAGAGAATTACAACAGATTATAGAAACAAAGATAATGGAATCACAAATATTTTCTATACAGTGGCTAGGAGATAATAAATTAGTAATTTGTGGCCTAAATGGAATTTTAAAAATATTTAATTTTACAGAAGGAGGTATATTTTATAAAATATAGAATAATCTGTTGTTTAGTAAAATTTAAATTTCCATTTAATTTTTACAATTTTTATTTTATACAGGATTAATTAATATAGAATCAATATGTTTGTTACCATATAGTCGAGAACGTTGGTTAACAGCAGCTGTTTTATATGAAGGACTATTAGTGTGTGGAGATAGAACTGGAAATATGCATGTTTTTGAGCTTGAAAAATCTGTATCATATAATGGAGCAAATGTACCTGAAGCAAAAAACAAACCTATCCAAACTTTTGTTAAAGTTCATGGAAAAATTGGTATTCAAAATTTCATAGTTTTGAATTCAAAATTAATATCAACTGGTCGTGATGGAATGTTAAAGTTTTATGAATTAAATAAATATAAAAGTGCAAAGTTATTATGCGCTTTACATAAACAAAAGATGCCAATGGATTGGATTAGCAGCCATTTAAAATCCTCTGATGATGTTTTTATACTAGGATTTAAAGAGGTACATACATATGTATTTAAACAGATGTTATACATATATATGTATATACATATTTTTTTTACATTTTTTATCTTTCGTCGTTATTATTTATAGGTAGAATTTATAATATATAGTCTGCTCCACCATCGAACTTTGATAAGAGTTCCTTGTGGTGGTGGGCATAGATCATGGGATTGTATGTTACAAAATGAACTTATTACATTTGTATATATTCGTAATAAGCAAGTATATGTATCTGATTTTTCATTAACTTCTTTCATGTTGCCGGTTTTATTGGTGAGTAATTTCTTCATACTGAAAATTGTATACTTTCCCAGAGGAATTAAAAGCATATTCTTTTAAATTTTTAGAATGGTTTCCATACAAAGGAAATATACTGCATCAATCCAATATCTAAAATTGGTCAGTATAATATTTTCATATCTGGAGGTGAAGATAGTACTCTTCGCATTAGTTACATCTCAAGTACACTGATGAAAAACAATCTCACTTTTCAAACATTGAGTATTTTTGATGGTCACATCTCTAGTGTTAAATTTATAAATTGTTTAAATTTACAAACTAATCTTTTTTACAATAAATATCTCATTTTTTCGGGAGGTGGAAGAGCACAATTAAAAGTTTGGGAAATTGATATAAAAGATAATAAAACATCCTTACAAAGTACAGATATTTCTTGTCATGACATTACATCTCACATGTTGTATGGATTTGATCGTTATCATAAAAAGCAGTGGCAAGAATCTAAATATTCTTATAATATGCAACCTGAGAGTCGATATATGGATATTGAAGTTTATCGTTGCTCTATAAATTTACATTATATATTGCTCTTTGTTGCTTGTGCAGATGGATTTGTAAGGTACATTTTTTGCTTGATATTTATGAATTTACAATGTAGTATCTTATACAAATATACTTGTGGATATTCTATATTCATAGAAATATAATTTTAAATTAATATTCATAGGAATTATTGTATTATTCATAGAAATATGTATAATTTTTATTTTTTGTAATCTAAAATGAATTTTTGAAAATCAAGGTATTTTTCTATTCAAATATTTGCTTAAATATTATTTGCAGAGTATTTTTGTATGATATTACTGTGAAAAATATTTCATTCAAAGCACATGTAAAGTGTGTGGATCGTTGTATAACAAAAATAACTGTTTTGACATATGATGAAAAAATAATTGTCTTAACAATGTCCACTGATGGAATCGGTCGATTTATTGATTTCACTGATATTATTTCAAAGATTATAATATGTCCACAAATTGAAGAACAAGAATTTCACAACTGCAAAAATGTATTCATGGCAAAGTTTGATTTACATCAATCTGGAATTAACTCATATGACATAAAAGTGATTGGAAAAAGCGAATATTTGTTAGCAACTGGTGGTGATGATAATTTGTTTAATGTTATTTGTTTTAAAGTTCAGTTAGAAGGTAAGAAGGAAGAATTACATATTTCATTGTTATCAAAATGGAGTACTGCAACTGCACATGCTGCTCAAATTACAGGTACGTTTACAATTTTTATGTCAGTATATATTTTTAAATAATGCTTAACATTATTTATATTTATTCTGTATTTGTTAAATTACAATTAGAAAATATAAACGAATAAAAATAAAATAAAGTAAGCTAGAAATGTAAATAATTTATTGATAAAAGTATTCAATTAATTTGAAAAGATATTTTCCAGGAGTAATATTTCACGAAAGAAATACACTTTTTAGCGTTGGAGTGGATCAGCAAGTAAATATGTATCATTATGATTATAACAATAGCACTTTATCTGTAACATTTTTGAAGAAAATCTTTACATTTGTAACGGATGTAAAAGGCTTAACTTCATGGTATAATTCAAAGTATGTTTATTGCTTCTATGATATTTAATTATGATAATCTGCATTATTATGTTTTAACGGATTAATGTTTGACTAAATTGGCATTAAAATTTAATTGTTTTAGTGATGAATCAGTCATATGTGTGTATGGTAGAGGATTTGAGATATTAACCGTCTAAGGTAAAATATATATTATAAAAAACTATGATGTCAGGTAATATCGTTTCTTGAAAATTTATTAATAAAATAGCATATATATATGTCGGAGATGAAAGGACATTGGAGCCTTCCCTTTGGAACTTAAATCCCTTAACACTGTAATCTAGATTCTATCATAGGCGTAATTAAACAATTGTCGGGTTTACATTAGAACTAGAGTTAGGGGCGTGAAACGAAACTTCGTTTGGATTACACATTGTCGTTATGCAATAGAGAAGACATTGACTAGTGCAAATACGATTATTATAGAATTGGACAAGTAACCGTGGTAATTAGATACTCGAGAAACTAATGACAATGATCCTAGGTTCAATAACGAATCCGCGGTCAACGGGATGATAGATGAATATGCTCACAATATCTAAGTCGGACTCTTTGTTAAAACATGGAACATCCACCGAGCGTACAGACACTAAGTAACTCGCTAATACGACCTCACGAGAGGGATGACTTTCCGTCGTGATGATGCTGCAGAAGAAAACTATGATGGGGTGTGTCTGAGAACACGAGATCATCGGATTCGTGGAAACATTCCTACGGTTTCTGTCCCGCGGCACGCCATACGCAGACCCTATTCTGCGGGTATGATGGTTACCAGATGCCGACGCATCTCCACAGTACATGTTCAGCTACCCTGATGGCCGTTATAAACACTAATATCTAGTTACCTAAAATCCTTCAACAGATAAACAGTCTTTGTCCCAGTTACAGGAAGACAGGAGAGACCTATTTTTCCACGAACGACGTCTCCCACTAGCAAC